AAAAATCACTGAAATGTACAATAATAGGTACATATTATGGCAGGTGAATTATGTCTCAAATAATGGTGTCTTATTTTAAAAAAAGTTAACTTCGAGTAAAAATGATGTTTCTTTTTTAACAGCAAGTAAATCTAACTTTATTTCCCTAATATTCCTCCGAGAACATGAAGAAGTTTGTCTCTTTGCAAAATGTATTCCTGAAAAGTTTTTAATAGCTTAAATAATACAGAACTATTACTTTATAGGCGCTGGTTTTAAAACCATAGTGAACATCTTAATCACTTGTAAAGCTTTATAAAGATACGTATGTCCAGCAGTCAAAGATTCTGATTTGTGTCTAACTGAATGAAACCTTGACGTTTACATTTATTTGCTTTAAAGAGTCACAGGTGATCAGATGAGCACTCCTGATATAGCCAATGATTTAAAGGAATCTGGTGGTAACCATCTATACAAAAAGATCCCTCTGTGATAAACCTAACTACCTTTAAATCTTAATTTGATGAAATCCATAATTTTGCTTGTTTGTTTTAACTTAAAAAAAAAAACACAAGACACCTCTTTTATTCTAAGATGTACTCTTGAAACCCTGTGCAGGGTCACTGTAAGTCAGAGCCGACTCCACGGTACTTAACAATAACAACTCTTGAAAGGCCTTTTCTATTACACTTTTATCCTAATGCACAACTGGCGTCTAGGGAGTCTAAAGAAAACTACTAACAAATTTTAAAATAACCTCAAGCTGGCATATGCATAAGAACACCCACACTTGCAGATAATACATACTTATCCTGGCTTCAGTGACTGGATGATCAGAGCTCAACCAGAAGTAAAAAGAAGAGGGGGTAAAAAAAAAAAAAGTATTCTCATACAATTTGATGAACTTGACCTACACCTATGGAAGCAATAGCTCAAAAGAGGGAACAAGTCCTTATAGCAAGAATCATTCTCACCTCCTCCACACACAGAGTAGAGAGGGATGGGCAACTTGGACATTGGCTACCCAAAATGGGGGGTGGGGGGCTATAAAGGCAAGAAGTGACTGGCTTACAAGCTTTTAAGAGGGAACCTAGATCCAGAGTGCCTGGAGCAAGGTAGAATCTCCAGTGAGTAGTATTCAATCTGTCTAAGCGGGGCTGATGCAATGAAATACAGATGGGTCTCTTGTGATACAATAGTGAATAATTGTTATCAGGACTGATTGTGAGGGTTGGAAATGTAAAGGTAGACGTTTTATAGCAAGGAGGGGAGTGATTAACTTTTCAGTCTAGGAGCGGAGGTCCCTGGGACCATCAAGGGAGAAGAGCAGAGAGCGGGACCCTACCCAGAGAAGCAGTGATGCCTGAAATGGAGGCAGAGATGATGATGTGGAGCGATGGAGCAGCTGGAGACTTTAGATCCAGAGAGGGAGAGCGAATGTGTGCTGAAGACCTGGGGGTTACGGGGGAAGGGTTGCATGGAGGAGACTGTAACCATGGCAATGAGACGATATACGATAGAATGAATGTAAAACTAATGTTCTCCCATGTAAACTATCACATAATTCACAATAAAACATTTAAGATAAATAAATAAATAACCTCAAGCTTTAGTTAAAATTCTACATCTTAAAAAAAAAAAAAGGGAAATTTTTCTTTCAAGGAAAATCATATAAAATCATGATAAATATGAAAGACTATTATACTACAGTGAATTTATTCACTCTCAAAATAAACAAAACCCATTAAGAAGTTAGAATACATCTGGGAAGTAAAATAATCCTGGCCTAACAGAAAACAAGGTATATTCAACAAACAAACAAAACAAGCATCAAATGTTGAATCTTACCTCTGGGTTCAACATAAACATTGTGAAACAAAGGTTTGGAATTAAAAAATGCTAAATTACTCTAGTGTCAAATCTCATAAAGGAGCTTTGTTCAACAGAAAGGGCAGTCAGAAGACTTAGCACATGCTCTCATTTAGCCATGTGACCTTGTTCAAATTACTTCTACAAGTCCTAATTTTCATTGCTTTTTAAAAGTAAGTTATCTGCTCTTCCAATTTCATAATGTAGTTCTGAGAAGCAATTGCGATGGTGTCTGTGACAGAACTACATACAAATTTTAAGTATCATTAAGGTTTTTCAGAAGGATATACTCTACATGTGAAGGAACTCTGGTAGCATAGCAGTTACGATTCAGGCTGCTAATCGCAAGGTCAGCAGTTCAAAACTACCAGCCATTCCATGGAAGATGAGGCTTTCGATTCCTGTAAAGATTTACAGCCTTGAAAACCCTATGCAGGGTCACTATGAGTCAGAACCACCACCGCCAATACTCTCCATGTGAATTGTTCAGATACTTCAACTTCAAAACTGAACATTACAAGAAATTAATCTTTTCTACAAAAACAAATCAGTACACAGAACTCTTCAAGTCACTTAAAGATACTATTTCATTTCAATCTCAAAACTAGAGTTTTCTGAAACTCTATTCCCCTTCTTTTCCAGTTCCCCTTCTTTTCCAGTTTAAATTTGTTGTTGTTAAGTGCTGTCGAGTTGGTTCCGACTCATAGCGACCCTGCATAGCATTTCCAAGGAGTGGCTGGTGAGTTTGAACCATCGACCTTGCTGTCCACTGCTTTTCTACAGTGCCACACCCTCTACACTTAGCCTGGAGTTAGCAACAAGGAAAAGCGCAGTACATAAAGTACAGAAGAAAAGTTGTAAAGAATTGGGAAGGGTAGAAAAAAGGGAGGACTGGTGTGGTGCTGTGGGTCAATGTGCCAGACTGCAAAGCCGCTTGAACTGCAAAGTTGGCAGTTCAAGCTCACCAGCTGCTCCCTGGAAACCCTATCCAGAATCGCTATGGGTCAGAACCGACTCAATGGCACTTAACAGCAACAACATAGCAGATGGAGTCCTGGTGTGGTGCTGTGGACCCCAAGGATGGTTTGAACCACAGGTCCGCAGTTCAAACTCACCAGCTGCTCCTTGGAAACCCTCCTTACACAGGGTCATTGAGTCGGAACTGACTCAACTGCACTTAACAATATAGCAGAAAAACAGTTTTGGTTGTTTAACGAATTCAAATAATAAGTTTTCTATTGAAAACTTTATTTTCTTTCAAAGTTTTAGGTTTTTCTCAAAGTTTTCTATTGAAAAGTTAGGTTTCTAACAAAACCCAAGTCAGGTAGTGTACCAGTCTGTCCATATGCCACCGTCTCTTTTTTTGTACTCTAAACAGAAACAATACACAAAGGACAAATTTTCATTAGGTACAAAATTACACAGTTTCCTCATCAGTAATCTGAGAAAGGTAAACAAGATAATTTTGGAGGGCCTTTTCAGCTCTAACATTTCATGGTCTGTGGATCAGTTCCCTCACTCCTTAACTCCTCAGAGAAAATCTCTTAAAAGAGATGAAAAGGAAAAATTATTCTTTTGGTCAAGGCTTTTGGAATCTTAGATTAAAAGAAACTCAAATACAGATTTTTAGGGTAACATAATGAGTTCATTCATAAGGATTTTTTTTTTTAATCACATTCATTTGTCAGTGAAACAAAAAGCATTGTCTAATAGATGGCACTCTTACCAATGGAAGATGATAAACAAACCTTCTTTATTTCTTACACTCTTAACTACATCGGAATTTCAATTCTTAAAAAAAAATAAGGAAAAGCTTGTTCCACTTTGGGGCTTATGGACTAACGTGTTTCTTCTACCAGGAAAATACTTATCTCTCCTGATCTCTCAACTCAAACATCATCACCTTCTGAGAGAGACCTTCTTTCTTTACTGTATCTAAAGAATCCTACTATCCACACCCCTTCATTCTGTATCCCACACTACCTCAGCATAAATTTTTCTTCATTGTCCTATCATTGCTGTTAATTATCCTACTCATTTATTAAGGAGTTTATTGCCTATGTCTACTCTACTGGAATGTAAGTACCAAGCATGTCAGAATCTTGTCTTATTCACCATCATATTATATTCCTAGCACTTAAGGCACCTGGCCCAGCGTAGGCACTGATCATACTAATGAATGTCCATAAGAAACTCACTCTAACATGAGTTCTAAAGAGGGCCACTGTGTTCTTTTCATCTTGTAGGCTGTTCACAGCACAACTTACATGGACCATTTGAAAAAAATAATGATTTGATGACATCTCTCAGGGTTTTGCAAAATAAAAACCTGGGGTCTGAAGAACACATTACTACAATACTCCTGTTATTAAGTGTAACTGACTTCTAGCTATGCTCTCGTAATGAAGAAGTAGGTAGACTACATCAGTATTTCTCAACATTGGCACAACCAACAATTTGTAGCCAGATCTTTCTGTGTTGTTGGGTGTCAACCCATAGATGCAACACACACCCTCTTTCCCAGTTATGCCAACTAAAATTATTTCCCGATACTGTCAAATGTACCCTGGAAGTCAAAACTGCCCCCACTTGAAAACTACCAGGATGTGTTGGCAGGCTGGATTATGAATTTCAAGGTGGAACAGTTTTAGGTGAGAGGGATCAAGAGCCTCCCTCTACTTTCTTCATATCCTTGAAATGACCTGTGAATATTAGTGTTCCTCAAGGTGGGCCCTACGCACTCCTCTCCTCTCCTTCCTCCCCTCTCAAGTAGCCTTAACCTATTCAAAGCTTTAAATTTCATCTATATGCTACTATATCCTAAACAATGTCTTCTGCACAGACCTCTCTTTGGAATTCCATACTTATACAAAACTATCTTCAAGGCATATTCATTAAGATGTTTCCATTTTAACATGTACAAAAGCAAACTCTTGATCTTCCCATCTAAACCTGTTTGTTCCCCCTTCAAATTCAAACTCAAATTATCCTGAACAAAAACAAATTGTGAAATCTACTCGTTTCTTCTTGACAGCCATTTTCTCTCCAGCAATGTCCCATGTTTTTAAAATTTATATTTTGCCTCTAGCCACATACCCTTATAAGTTAATTTTAAGCTTTATTCACCACCATCTTTTACTACTTTAACTTACATTTTTTTGATGGGAAGAAAAAACAGGTGCCTTTAAAATGAGCTCCAAATCCCCTTCTTGATGGCTGTCATTATCACCTCTCCTTGAATCATTAAGTTGGTGCCCTTTTCTGAGCCTTATATCTGGCTCTGGAGTCCTGCTGCACCACAGCCGGTTTTCTTCTGTCTCGTTCATGGGATAGCCAAGCCTTTCTTACAATGAGGTCTTTCTTAACTGTCCCTTCTTGGGAGGATATACTTTCAGAATAGTGAGACGACCCTAAGGGAAAAAAAAACATTGAATAAATATATTTTAAATAATATGCATTAAATAAACAAGTACTGATAGAAGACATTGGTTATACTTACATTCACACAATATTCAGCAATCATTAAGAATAACAGGGGTATAAGGTACATAAGAAATAGAACAATTTATCTTTTCTAATAGGAAAAATTACCAAAATCTATTACAGCATGAAAAAAAAAAAAGCAGGGAATAGGTATGTATGTTCCCATTTATATGCTACAGAACTTTGTCATGTGTAAGTTAATATGTACCTACAGTAATTACTGGAAAATATTCAAAATTATGCTCTTGGTACAGAAGTACAGAGGGAAGAACTTAGGGTCTGGAAGAAATTATCTGCTATTTTGTTCTGCTTGTATTTTATACCATATACCACACCATTTTCTCAGTTTAAAATACAGTGAACTTTAGAAAGAATACATATGGAATTATGCATTATATAGCTGGATTTTACATATCCAATCTCATTTAAATATCACAATGATGCTAAAGAGCATTTGTATTTCTACTTCGCAGTTGAAAAAACTAAAACTAATACCTGAACATTCTTTCAGGTTCCTCTTTCAACTATTCCTTCTGATTTTGTAGTCCACTACTCGCAATGTCAGTAGTTCAAACCCAGCAGTCGCCCCAAGGGAGAAAAATGAGGTGATCTGCTCTCATAAAGATTTACAGTTTTAGAAACCCCCAAGAAGCAGTTTAACTCTGTCCAATTTAGTCCTGGTGTGGCATCAGCAAGCACTGGACTAACAGCAAGGTCGGTAGTTCGAACCAACCAGATGTTCCTCAGAAACCTTACAGAGGGTTGCTTTAAGTCAAACTAATTCAACAGTGCTCATAGAGTCTCTATGAGTCAGAATCAAAATCAACTCAATGGCAGTGGGTTTGGTTTGGGGTCCCCACCACCACCACCATCAACAACAAAATAATAATGATAATTAGCTAATTCTGTTGTAGCTCAAATACATCCTTCATGATTCACTAATCTGCAAACTTTCACATATATGGATATACATGTATGTCTCACTATACTGTATGAAATTAAGTGGAACAAAATCTCTGAATATATATAGAAGGACTATTGGCAATACTTTGCTGCCTGACATTTCAATATTTTTCTGTTGAACTTAAACTAATTTACCCTAGAATGCAAGAAACTCGGGCCCAGAGCATATTCCTTTTAAATCTCAGTTCTCAGAAAGTTCTATACACATAAATGCTTAATGAATATTTGATGGATATCTTAATGTTTTGGAGTGATAAAAACATTTTCAAAAGTCATCAATATCTCTCTAAACTGGCCTACAATAAGTTTCTTTAGGAGTTCAATTCTTTCAAATCTTTGGCATTCTACCTCTTACCTTATAGTGCACAAGCTTATCTAAGACATTTATTATATATCCACATAAGGCAGTTGTCACAGCCAATCTGATAAGTAGCAACACAGGAAGAGATCAAGTTACATCTATGCTCATAAATCCCATGAGATACAAGGTTTTTACTGGGGGAAGGTTGGAGTAGGAGAAAAGTGGAAGAGTATAAAAATCAGAAAAAGAAGATAAGAGTTGTATTTACTATTCATATATATCAATACACAGTCTACCAAAGAATTAATCAACTTTGGATTTCATAAATCACGAGTCTGCTGCAGGATTCCTCTAAGGGCTTTCAAAGCTTATGGAGTAAGAACAAACTGAAATATATAAGGCTCACCAGCCTGGATATGTGCCTATTACTTATCAAGCATATTAATACTACTGAGATATACTATCAACCAATTTGGAAAGCAGAAACAATGCTAATGATTTACATTTATTCATTGTTTACAGAGTCATCTCATATGCATCATTTCATTTTGTTTCACAGAAGAGGCAGGTAACTAACATTTATTAAGGGTCAACAATATTTTAAATTCTTTACCAATTTGCATGTGGTATTTCACATAATCTTACAAGCCGTCCTCTGAGGTACTGTTGTTGTTGTTGTTAAATGTCACTGAGTTGATTCCAACTCACAGTGCCTCTACATAAAGTTTCCGTGGAGCAGCTGGTGGGCTCTAAGTGCCAACCCTGTGGTTCGCAGTCCAGTGTTTACCCTATTGCACCACAGCAGGACTCTGAGGTATTATAACTACCCACTTTGCAGACACAGAAAGTGAAGCTGAGAGATTAGGTAATTTATTCTAGGTCACACAGTTATAAAGAGGAGTAGCTGGGTCTATACTCTAGTCTTTCTGGCCCTCATGAAGTTCCCGTTTTTTCAAACTATGACCAAATTTAAAATGGGAGGGGGGAGGGGGGAATATATATGTATGTATGTATGTATATATGGTGGTGGTTATGTGCCTTGGAGTCGGTTCCGACTCATAGCAACCCTGTACAAGGTTTCCAAGGCTGTAAATCTTTATGGGAGCAGAAAGCCTCATCTTTCTCCCATGGAGCAGCTTGGTAGTTTCAAACTGCTGACCTTGTGGTTCACAGCCCGATTCGTAACCACTACACTACCAGAGCTGTCTCTCTTTCTCTCTCTCTCTCTCTCTCTCTTTTTCTAGTATATATATATATATAAACTTGAACACAATCACTTGATTCACATGGTAAGCATCTTTATTCGCAAGCTGTAGCCAAGTAAAAATCTTTCTGAAACGTATCTTTGAAACCAGCTCTCATAAGACGGAGTTATATATGGAGGGATGTTGTTTGTTTATTTAGAAGAATAGAAATTAAATGCTCTATTAGAACTTTTAGCCGTCAACTCTGAAAACAAAAGCAAACGACAACAACAAATTCTCCCAAATAAAGAGTTTCTTTTAAAAAAAAAAAAAAAAGAAAGAAAGAAAAAGAAGAAAATTCATGTCCAGGAAAGTCCTAAAATCAATATACAATCCTATCAATACTGTTTTCTAAATTTACCACTATAAGAACAAAGACAAAAATAAGGCACTGCCAAATCTTCAAAAAAAAATTTTTTTGGTAATATATACGGTAGTATTACCATACATATACTACAGCAGGTCAGTCTACCAATATATTTCAGAATCTCAACAACAGATCTGTTGAAGAAAAAAATATTATGTCAACCCTCAGGTTCCCAAAAGATTTACTAAAACAGAACCACCCATACCTGGATCAATCCAGAGTACTAAAACTTCCTATGTATTTTAGCTTACTTGCATTCTACCTAATGGAAAAATGCAATCTTACTAAAAAGGAAACAAATCCTAGAGTCTTAAGATTAAAGTCAGAAACAAAACTGTCCTTTATCATCAATATTATTTAATTCTGTTCTGGAGAATTGAGTCAATGAAGAAAAAAAATAAGGGATATAAAAATTGAAAAGGAAGTGGAATTATTATTACGTTCAAATGATTATCAATTGTTTATTAAAAATAAAGAGAATCAACTGAAAAAATAATTACAGTGAAATTCAGCAAGGTGATTGGGTATAAGATTAATATATTATAAATCACCAGCCTTTATCCAACCAATCAGGTTTTTACTTATTATAGGAAAAAATTTTTTTTACAAAAGGGAGTTATTGTTGTTAATGTGCCATAGAGTTCATTCTGACTTATAGCAAAACCCACTATAGGATTTCTGAGGAGCAGCTTGTGAGTGTGAACCACCAACCTTATGGTTCAAACCAACTTTGTGGTCCCTGTGCTTATCCTACAGCGCCACACCAGGACTCCATACAAAAGGAGGATGTTGCTGCTGTTAAAGGCTATTGAGTCAGTTCTGACTCATAGCTTCCCTGTATAGGGTTTCCATGGAGCAGCAGGTGAACTTGAACCACCAACCTTGCAATCCAAACTGACCTTGCAGTCCAGCGCATTAACCTGCAGAGCCACACCAGGATAGAAGAAATAAGCCCTGGTGTGGCACTGTGGGCTAATGCGTCAGACTGCAAAGTCGTTTCAACTGCAAGGTCGGTGGTTCAAGTTCACCAGCTGCTTCTTGAAAACCCTACAAAGGGTCGCTGTGGGTCAGAATCAACATGACAGCACTTAACAACAACAACAAACAAACCAAGATCTACAAAAAATATCCTAGAATAAATTAGTTTAGTAAGGTCACAGGAAACAAGATCAACATACAAAAACCAATAGTATTTCTATATACTAACAATGAGCATGTTGAAACAAACTAAAATATAAGAGCATTTATACTTGCTCCAGAGAAAATTATGTATGAAGGGCCTTCAAAAAATTCATAGAAATATTCCATTACCTTTTCACTCTATTTTCCACAAAATTTTTGAAGCCCTCTCTAACATGATGAGGTGTATGTACTTACCAAAACATGTACAGGATCTATCTGCTGAAAACTACTAAATACAGATAAAAGATAACAAAGAACTAAATAATTAACAACACATCATGCTTACATATTAGAAGGCTCAACATAGTAAAGAAATCAATTCTCTCCAAACTGATCCCAGCAAGGATTTTTAGAAACATAGGTCTAAGTTATTTCTAAAACTTATGTGAAAAAGAAAAATAAAGTGGGAAGAATCCTTCTAACTAATATAAAGGCCTACTATATAATTTTAATAGTCAATGCAGTGTGTGTCATTATCAGAAGAATTGACATGTAGATTGATAGAAAACAGTACAGAACCCAGAAACCGACCAACACAAATCCAACTGCTTTTTCACAAAGGTGCAAAAACAATTAATGAAGGAAGACTAGCCTTTTAAATAAATGGTGCTGGTGCATCCATGTTGTTGTTGTTGTTAAGTGCCATCAAGTGGGTTCCAACTCAAAGCAATCCTGCATAGGATTCTCCCAGGAACCGCTGGTGGGCTGGAACCACGAACCTTGTAGTTAGCAGTCCAGTACTTATCTTACAGTGCCACAACAGTATTCCAGGGCATGAAAATGAAC